TTGTGATGCTGCGGGGTGGTCGTCCTTTGAGTTTTTTTTTTTTTTTTTTTTTTTTTTTTTTGTTTGTTGGGATGATGGGGGTTTAGTTCTCTTCGTGCTGGTTAGGTGCCTGAATGTTACAGTACATAGGCGTAGTATATGCAGGTGTTCCTCTCCATGTCCGTCTCTAGTTTCCCAGAGGGACGGACTTAGTATCTTACCATGACCATGATCACTGTATCCGATCTGTCTATATTCGAATCCCTTCTAATTACATTATGCCATCTATCCAGATGTGTACTGTACCGATCTATCAATCTAAGTATCTAACCGATGTATCACTTTTGATGCATCCCACAAAGTCAAACCACCTCTGCCCCAAAAAGGACCGCGCAGTGAATGAGCCAGGCACAGGCGACAAGAAGCGGCGCGAAGGAGCTCAAGCCTCCAGAGGCATGGAAAAGGCCCAGAAAGAAGCAAACGCAGGCCGAGGACCGCCCCTCAGCCAACCATACCCGACCCAACCCACCAATCCCCAACCATCCACGCCCCAAGATTACTGCACCGATGCAGCCTCTCTCCTCTCAACAAAACCTCCACTCACTGTTAATGTAACCTAAACCGCAAACCGACTCCACCCACGGATCTTCACCCCCCACCGGTAAAACCCATACGGCACGGGGACCATCAGCGCACTGATCGCCCCCAGGATCGTCAGCGTCCAATGCACCCCCATGTTCTGGTAGAATGGCACGCCCACCACCGTCATCCCGCCGGCGGCGCAGTAGCGCGAGACGGTCATGAAGCCCAGCGCCGACGCGGCGTAGATGTCGTACGCGTCGATGACGTACATGTACGACGAGATGAAGACCGTGATGGTGCCGAAGCCGAACACGGCCGAGGCCACGATCGGCGACCACACCGACACGCTGGAGTACGAGGTCCACCCCATCCAGAACAGGCTGACGGGGATGAACGGGCTGCCGATCATGGCGAACCAGAGCCGGTTTTCGGGGCGCGGGGCGTGGTGGTGGTGAGGCTTTTCATCAGGGATGGGTTGGGACGGTTGCTGTTGCTGTTGCTGCTGCTCGTGCGGGTTGTTCGGGTTGGGGTCGATAGGTTCGTCGTTGTCAGATGATGAGGATGACGAAGGCGCAAGAGCGGCTTGTTTGAACTCTCGCTTCGTCCAGCGGTAGATCAGTGGCACAAATAACCCCGCGAGGCAGATCCCCACGTACATCGCGACCCAGACGATGTTGGTGAGACCCTGCGAGAGGCCGTGGATGTCGGAGAAGATGTAGGTGTAGCCGTCGAAGAAGGTGAACAGCACGATGTAGATCACGGTCATGTAGAGGGAAATCAGCAGAATGATGGGCTCGTGGATGGTGAGACTGAATTGTCGGATGCATGCGTTGCTGATTCTGGACAGGAGCGCGGTCTTCTGGAGATCCATGGAGGACTTGTAGCGCGGATCGCCCGTGAGGTTCCGGAGATGACGCGCCTTCCATTTGAGTAGCATGGGGCCATACGTTTCCGGCTGCAACAGAAGGATTAATGCAAAGATGAACCCTGAGAGAATCAGGATGATCCAGTTGGTCCACCGCCAGGAGAGCGTGCCCTCGCCCATGTACGATGCAATCACCGGACCGAGCACAGGCCCGCCAAACGACAAGATCGCATAGAGAGGGAAGGTGAGTGTCTTTTCCAACGGATTCCACAGATCAGCGATGGTCCCTCCGGCGCAAGTCAACGGAGGACAGCCGAACACGCCAGCCAGAAACCGAAACACGATCTGCGCCCCGATATTCGGCGCCAACCCAGAGGCCATGATGAAAATCATGAACAGGGTGAGAGACCCCGTGTACACGGCATTGCGGCCAACGACCTCGGACAGAGGACCAGACACCATGGACCCAGCGGCGAACCCAAGCAGGTACATGCCCGTTGCCAGAGAGGCAACGACATCACTGACATGGAACGCAGCGGCGTTTTGAGGCATGACCCCTGACTCAATTGACGACGCACATCCCACAGCGAACGCCAGCGCAGTCACGAGCAGGGTCGCCGAGATCCGCGCGGCGAGGCTGTAGTTGCGTGGATTGATGGGGTCGTGGTCGTGTTCCCATTCGACGAGGAGAATGGAGGAGGTGGTTCCATCGTCGTCGACAATCTCCTTCAGCTGCACGCCAGGCAATTGACTGTACTGTGGGTGCCGCTGGGTGTCGTTGCTCGTGACATCGCCGCCGGTCAAATCATCGGTCTTTTCTGCTCGGGAAAAGCCCGGATACTCTTCTTCGAGCTGCCTGCGCACGGCGTGGCCGATGCGTCGATATTGAAGATAGGCCTGCATGAGAGAGTCAGTGAAACAGACGCAACCGTTGCGGGTGGATAGAAGCACCAAAAAGCGGAATGGCCAGACGGATTGGAAAGAGAAAGGGAGTGACAAACCTTGACGACATGGACACAGTTAAAGGCAACAATGCTGATTAATGGGAAAGTGAGAAGAAATGAGAAATTGAGAGCAAAAGGTGGCTCGAGACCGGATGAACGCCGACCTCACATCCTTCCGACCCACCAGATCCACTTCTTCGATGGCCAGAGAAGGGAACTAACTCCTAACTCCTTGAACTATCCAGGAGGGGCAGTATAGTCCGCCTGTTAGAAGTGAGGGATCTGGGAGGATTTGGGAATTTGAGAGGATCCGCGGGTCACCGAAGGAACAAGACGATGACGCTTGAGGCCACACTAGCTCAGTGGGTCTGCCGGAGATCGGCCTGAAGTCCGGTCGGTCGGCGCCTGAACTTACTCGGACGAGAAGAGAATTCGAGAACTCCTTCAGGTTCGTGCTTGCAGTGTGCAGTGGCAGCCTTACGGTCCCACTACGTAGTGCTTGGAATATTGGCACTTGGCAATCTGCAATTCTGCTTTCATTGCTTCCAACTCAAGATCCCCCCAATTATAAACAAAAACGCCCGCAGGACATCTTTCCCTTTGCAATTTATGAACACATCCTATTAATAGACAAAGAATATAGATCCTGTAATGAAGAGAAGTAGGAAAGAAACACAATGAAAAAATGACGGGGCCAGGGCTTCCCATGGACGCTCAGCATCGAAAGATCCCTTCTAAATTTCCATCAATTCCATCCATCACTCACTCGCTGTCTTCAAAGTCATCTCCCGAGTCATTGCCCCCTCCACCAATATCATCGCTATCATCATCATCGTCAATCACATAGGTCTTCTTCTTCGTGGTGGCCGTGCGTCGCGAAGGCCGACTGACGGGAGCCGCCGGCGAATCCAAAATGTCATTCGCCATGGCATCGATGTCATCGTCGGACAGATCATCCGCCAGCTGCTTCTTCTTCGCCGCGGCGCTGGTCTTCGCCTGCTTCGAAGCATAGGCCTTCGCAGCTGGAGACAGGGTGGTCTGCTTTGTAGGTGCTGCAGCTGCAGTCTTGGTGGTGGCATCCTTCTTCGGGCGACCACGCGTCTTGGCGGCCGGTTTAGCAGCAGTTGAAGCAGCAGCCTTACCCTTGGCGGCCGGCTTCGCCTTAGTGACCGCTGGCTTCACAGGCTCATCCTCATCGCTATCATCCAACAGAGTAGCCGGTTCCTTGGACTTCACCTGAAGGGACCGCCGGGGAGAGCCCTGGGGCACCAACTTGCTGTAGTCGGTCTCGTCCGCATCGAAGTCAGGAGAGGCCTTGGATGGCTTGGTGCTGGTCTGCAGTCCCGAGCGGCTGCCAGGCCCAGACTGCTCTGAGAAGAGCTCGAGAGAATTCGACGTAGACCCGCCCGCGGTGCCACCAATTCCCTTCACCATCTTGCTCACGTCTCCCAACAAGTCATCTCCGTTGTCACTGTCTGAATCACTCAGGGCATACTTAGTTGCCTTGCGAGCCGCCCGCGCAGGTTTAGGGGAGGACTTGGCAGCCTCAGAGGCCTGTGCTTTGGCGATTTCGAGGAAGGCATCGTCATCGAGGTCGTCATCGTCTGCAGGCTTCGACTTGGGCTTCCGTCCACGCTTGGGAGCTTCTTTGACTTCGGAGCTTTCAGGGTCCTCAGACTTTACCTTAGTAGAGGCCTTGGAAGTAGCTCGACTCTTCTTGGGCAAGATCTCAATGTCTGAATCACCCGACACTGGTTCTTCTTTCTGGACAGGTTCGGGTTTCGACGATCCACCTCGGCTCTTCTTAGGAAGGACTTCCAAGAAATCGTCGTCGGAGTCATCGTCGATCGGCTTCGCAGCGGGCTTGGTAGGAGACTTGCTTAGGAAATTGTGCAGTGTCCCCTTCGGTGCAGCCTTCTTCGCAGCAGCCTTCTTGGGCTTCGGCGCAGCAAAGTCTTCATCATCGGGATCCTCATCCAGGGCGGCCTTACGCTTCCGACCGACAGGTCCACGGGCGGCAGTCATCAACTTGGAGGAGGCACGACGACCCATCTGCATGACCTTGCGCTCGCGACGGGCTTCGTCATCCAGCTGGAATCGCCACTCATTGATGAAGTCATCCAGGTCCTGTCTCCAGATGTCTTCCTTGGACAGCTTGATCAAGGCGTCGACCTCCATCTCCTTGTCGCCAATTTGTTTGCGGAGCTTCTCCACGCGCTCCTGCGTCAAGGACCAGATAGCCATACCCAGCAAGTAGTCGTAGGCATTGGAGAGGTTGTTGGTGTCCTCCTTTTCGTTGGCCGACTCCTCCTCATCATCCTCGAGAGCTGGCTCAGTCTCGCCTGCCTTGACGGCTTGAGCGACCTTGGGGAACGGCTTAAAACCCTTGTCTTTCAATTCAAGAACAAGGACGGCCTTCTTCTTCTTTGAAACGACCAGATCCCCGTCAATAATCATCTGAACGAAGCGCGCCTGGTTGCTGAGCTTGTCCAAGTCTTTTTGCAGTTCTGAGAGCTGGTGTTGCTTGCGTCGCTCGTAGAACTTCAGACGTAGCGCATAGAACTCCTTAAGGATGTCATCGACTGTAGCATACTTCGTGATCCGCCCTTCGGGATCGAAAGCGACCAGGTTGGTGGTGGCGATAGTCTTTGTAAGCTTAAACTTCTCCTCCAATCCTTCGGACAATGCAGTCTTCATGTTCTTTTCGTCAAGCTGGATGACGAAATGAACCTTGGTGTGAGTGTTGTAGTCTTTGTAGTCCTTGATGAAAGAGGGCGTCTTCTCAGCCTTGATGATGTCTTCAAGCTTGTCCTTGAAGTCCTGGGTCCAGGTACGGATAGGAAGTTCGGTAATCTCGACTTCCTTCTCCCCGGTCTCCTTGATGACACCACTAAACTTGAATCGATCGCCGCCAATGTCGGTGACTTCACCAGTGAAGCCTCGGAACCAAGGTTGCATAGGCTTGGTGGGTTCACCGTCCATCATTCGTTTCAGGTTGTCCACAATATCCTCTGGGTTGTAGTTGGGAATAGAAGAACTCCAACCTGTGCCGATACCATCAGCACCGTTGATGAGAATCATGGGAACAACGGGTACGTAGGTCTCCGGCTCAATCGTAGCTCCGTCATCCACGTTGTAGGTCAGAAGAGGTTCGTCCGCTTGGTGGAAGACACGACGAGCAAACGGAGAGAGTCGAGTGTAGATATAACGCGCGCTAGCACAGTCGGATCCACCCTGAAGACGACTACCGAAGTTACCGCTAGGCTCCAAGACATTCAAGTTGTTGGAACCAACGAAGGTCTGCGCTAGACCGACAATAGTCTGTTGCAGTGAAACATCACCGTGATGGTACGCGGTCATACCCGAAACGTGACCAGCAAGCTCGACAACCTTCATGTCCTTCTTCAAGTTGCGACGGAAGCAAGTGTACAAGACCTTGCGCTGACCAGGCTTAAGACCATCAACAACTGAAGGAATAGACCGGACGTTATCCGCCATACTGAACAAGATAAGCTCTTTGTTGATGAAGTCGGTATATGTGATCTTGGACACGGAGTGGTCGAGGAACGTTCCAGGCTTGAATTGACGAAGCCATTCCTTTCGCTCATCCGCCTTCTTCTTAGAAAAGGCGAGTTCAATCAGCCCAGCCTCATTATCCTGCAGTGTGTGGAATTCCTTCAAGTGACGATCGAGGTCACGGAAGTAGACCTGGGCATCTTCAGTGGTGCTGGTACCCAGACCCTTGTAGTACTTGTGCTCCCAGCCGCGTTCGTGTTTGTGCTCCTCCTTCCACACCTCATATTCTGGCATGGTGAAGAAGGACCGTTGCTTGGTGGGATTCTTGGGATCACCCTTCCACACCTTGACAATGGGAGTAATGAACTCGATCAGGAACTCAGGAATCTTTAGCAAACTGGGGAATTGGGCTTGAAGGAAGTTAATGAGCAACCCCTTGATGTGACTACCGTCGTGATCCTGATCCGTCATGATCATCAAGTGACCATAGCGAAGACCGCGGGTGTCCGTGTATTCCTTCTTGTGTTGAAGACCAATGAAGTTCTTGATGTTCTGGATCTCTGCATTCTTCGAGATCTGATCAAAAGACGCATCACGCACGTTGAGCAGCTTTCCTCGCAGCGGGAACACACCGAACAGGTCAGGGCCAACAACTGATCGTCCAGCCACGGCCAGACCTTTGGCTGATTCACCCTCAGTCAAGATCAGGGTGCAGTGATGACCGTCCTTAGTACCAGCCTTGTTGGCATCCGTCAATTTGGGGTTGTTCATGCGGCTGCGCCGGCCACCGTCCGTCTTCTTCAACATCTGATCGGCCTTTTGCTGGGCAAAGTGCAAGATGTTGTTCATCACCTCTGTCTTCAGAACCTTTTTGTAAAAGTCGTCATCGAGAACGCATTTGCTACCGAATTGGGATGTTTTGGTCGTGAGCTGTTCTTTGGTCTGGGAGGTGAACGCCGGGTTGACAATCAGGGCGTTGACGAAGATGAAGATGTGGTTGCGGATTTGGGCTGGCTTCAGCGTGGCGCCATTCTTGTTCTTCTTCTTGACAGTCTCGGCGAGCTTACTACAAATCTGATCCGCGATGTAGTTCACGTGTGTCCCTCCTTGGGTAGTTGCGATGGAGTTGACAAAGGACACCTGCTGGAAGGAGCCATCAGAGACCGCAAAACCGACCTCCCATCGAGGGTCCGGGCTGCAGGTGATGATTTCATCTTTGGCTCCCGCGCCCTCCTCGCCGCGCTCCCTCCTAATAGCCTTGGTGTACATTTCCATGTACTTCTTGAAGTTCCGTACGGGAACGCGGGTACCGTTCAGCTTAACGGCCACCTTCGCTGTTCCAGCCAAGTCATAAACACGACGTTTGACAAGCGCCTCGAAATCATCGTCAATGCCCGTCATTCCGAACTTGGCGAAGTCAGGCTTGAATGTGACCTTGGTGTAGTCTTCTCCCTTCGCATCGGTGATTTTAGGCTTTCCACAATTCAACATGTTGTTAGTCCAGATCTGCTTATACCTCTTCTTTTGGCGTGAGTCCTGTGTTTCCAGTACGAACTCGGTGGAGAACACGTTACAGAGCTTAGCACCATAACCGTTCCGGCCACCCGTGACCTTCTGTTGCTCGTCGTTGTAATTAGACGAGGTCAAAAGGTTACCGAAGATGAGCTGCGGAATGTACATATCCTCGGTTTTGTGCCATTCGATGGGAATACCGTTGCCGTTGTTCCACACGCTAATCTCGCCGGCTTCCCGGTTGACCGTCACGCGAATCTCATCCATGCTTTGGTCATTTTGTTTGTTGTCGGCGGCGTTGACGACGATTTCGTCGAAGATCTTATAGAGACCTGGAACAAACGAGACCTCGCGGAATTCCATACCATCCGTTTCCGAGTTGTAAACCCACATCATCTGTTCTGTGCGTTCAACGGATCCGACGTATGTATCCGGACGTTTGAGGATATGCTCGCGCGGATCAAGCTAAAAAACTAAGTATCAGCTGCGCTGCTTCCCCTCCAGTAGACATT